CCAGCTGCGCCGCCGCTCCCGCGCCCCCAACTCCAAACTCTGGGGCTGGACAGGCCCGCGTCTCCAGGCTCCCAGTTCAACAAGACCTGCTCCCCCTTCCTTCCTCAGTGTCTTCTGGGCCCTGGGCTGTGCCACTTTCCCCAGGAGCTATCGCCCGCGGCAGCTCTACTTGTAGCCACAGTACTTTCCCCTTTGCAGTTGCCGACGGCCTCTGCCCTCATCCCTCACCTGGGAGGCCGAAGTTAGAGGCCGGGTCTCGATAAGAAATGGCAGCCGCGTGTCCAACCCCCCCACCCCCGCGCCATCCTGGACTTCCCTGCTCAACCCCTTTCCATCACTAGGACTGCACATTCCCCAGATCCCGGCCGGGACAAGGCTACAGGGCCACACTCCACATCCCGTACCCAGACCCATGCCCTCTTGACACAGATCCACACCACCTAGCTGCTTGAGTCATTCTGCCTGTTTTCTCCACCAGGTTCCTCACCTCCCTTTCCGACCTATTCCTCCAGTCTAAGGCCACCTCCTTTTCTCCGGATACATATTTTCGCTTTAATTCTAGGGTGGTGGTTTGGGTGCAAAGAGCACTCTGCCCCGTGCATGCCCTTCCTCTCCATGCCCTAGCCCTCCCACTTTACCCGCTGACCTTGCAGGTGGTGCAGAAGGTCCTTGTGCAAAGTAGGGGAGGACAGGAGGTCCGTTCAGTTTCTTCTGCCTGGAGGTGGTTCAGGAGCTGTCAAGGCTCTTGGGGCAGCATGAATGGTGCTGAAGCTGGTAGAGCAAAAGGGAGAGACAGAAGCCTAGGGACTTGCTGGTAGGAATGGAGACCCAGGCATCCTGCTTCCTGGCTCCGCCCCAACCCCTGTGAGCTCCCTCCTACCCTTCATTGAAGTAGGGCAGAGTAACAATGCCTTGGGTTCCTGGAAGAGCCCTTTTTACACCTGAGGTATTTGTAGGTGTGGGGGGATTTCAGACTGCAAGCCTGTACCTGTGTGTATGTGTGGTGTGTTTGTATGTATCTGTACATACCCACACACCCATACTCACACCCACCATATACATATTTTTGAAGGGGCTCATAGGGGGAAAGAAATGAATACATAAGGCCCTCTAGTGGAAACAGAGGGACCTAAGACGGTCTAGATCGTTTCCTGACTTGCTTGTTGAAGGAACTGCTCCAATTTTACCAGAAATATGGGTGCTGTAGTAACAGGGTTTGAAAGTACTATTATTGTATCTAAACTGGAAATTTGGTGCAGGGCTTGGAGGAGGGTCTGTCTCTCGGCTCTTGTGTCCCTATAGGTCTCATCCTCAGTCTTAATAAAAAACAAGGGCCCTGTTACTCCTCATCCTTTTTTTTTCAGTGCTGGAGATTGAATGCAGAGTCTGAGACATGCTAAGTGTGTGTTAACTCCCACTTCCATTCTTCACTCTTTTCTTTTCTCTTTCTTTCTTTCTTTCTTTTTTTGGTACAGGATTTTATTGTGTAACCCAGGCTGGCCTAGAACTCTGATCTTCCAGCCTCAGCCACTCAAGTACCTGGGATTACAGGTGTGCGCCATCACAGCTGCTCATCTTTGATTCTTAAGTTTTTTCTTTATCATAAGCAAAACTTCATGTTCCTATATGACCTCCTTGGTCATAGTCAACAAACATTTTTGAAGGCTGATTATATACCCGATACTGTACTCAGTTTTGTAGTCAGGCAAAAACGGCTCAGTTTAAGGACTGCACCAGAGTGGCTTGATGTGTGTGAAACCTCTCTGCCCTGAGCCACCCTAAGTAAACGTGTAAGAGTGGGTCCATAACCCCTTTTTTAACAATCTCCACATAAATTGAAAGACATTTTTTTAAAGGTCTTTTCTTTGTCTGTTTATTTTGAGACAAGATCTCGCTATATAGTTCAGGCTGACCTTGAATTTACTATGTAGCCCAGGCTGGCCTCAAATTCCCAGTGATTCCCCTGTCTCAGCCTCACAAGTACTGGGATCACAGGTGTGCGCCACTACACGTAGCCTTTTACAATTTTTTGAACTTCAAAGTGGGGTATGCAGTTGTTTCTCTAATAAGGAATAAAATAGAATCAATCTTATTCTAGCCTTCGTTATGTCATGAGGATCATGCTCCATTATACCCCAAGTCAGTTATTGGTGGAGGTGGGGAAAGAAAGGCAAAGAAACTTCTGAGGAGGCGTCTAATGCCTACAGTTCCAGGTGCTCATTTCTTTAATCAACCACATCATAAAAGTCAGAAAGAAAGAAACCACAATGAACAAAGGGAAAGGAAAAAACAACAGCCTGTTCTCCCCTGCCTCCTCTTTCCTCTCTTCCTCTTTAGGGTAGGGGGGCCACATCCGGGGCCCAGGGCTGGGTCCTAGGCTGGTCTACTAAACAGACAATAGAGTTTCATTTCCTGTCAAGCTCAGAGCTAGGGCAGGATATCTGGGGGTACAGCGGGGCTAGGGTAGTAAAGCGGGTTGGGTAGTGAAAAGGGGCCACTAGGATTCCCCCTTGCAGAGCAGGTTCATCTGAAGCTTCAGAGTGCTTCAGAAATGAGCTCTCAGACTTTGTTGGTGCAGATAATGAAGCGCTCAGACACCATGAAATCTTTGACAAGGCTTTTTATTTTTGCAAAAGTGCACAAACTTGAGGTAGCAGGTGCGCAAGACAAAGGAGGGTTGCCCCTCTTACCCCTAAGCAGGAGGAGCAGCTGACTTCTTTTCCATTGGCTGGTTTGGAGGTTCACAATCTAACCTCATTGGCTAACACAGAGAGGACTCTGAGGGCTTGCTGAGGGGAAGGGAGAGCAGAGCAGAACAGAGCAGAGCCGGGTGAGAACAGAAAAGCTATCTTTGGCCCAAAAGCTATCTTTGGTTTGTAGCTGTGTTCCCAGGCTTGGAACTTAGTGGACATTTTCTGTAACTTAGTGTCTTCAGGAAGGGATATCTAGGATGGGCTAGAATCCAAGATAGAGTCACTTCTGTTTGACAGAAAATACAGAACTTAGTTTTCCACAAAAGACCTCTCCTTTAGGAGTTCAGGCAAAAGAAATGTGTCCCACTAGTTTTCTGGAGCACTTCATCCCACTGGTTTATGGCCTAAGACCAAGGACAGGATGCAAATGGTGAAGGGCTGAAGCAAAACTGATGAAATAACAAGTTTTAAGGTTGACAATGTCTGAAAACTTGTACTTTGCTGTATGCAAATTGTTTCCTTTTGAGTAGTGAAATCTGAGGAGTGTCTCAAAATGTTGCCCAGGGTGACCTTAAACTCTTGCACCCATGCAATCCTCTTGCCTCAGCCTCCAGAGTATTGCAACTACAGGCAAGCCACCCTGCCAGTTGTATCCACATAGTTGTTAAATGAGTCTTTGTGAGATCTGAACTGGGCTCCACGCTGAAGCCAAGAATATAGGAGAATAATGCAGAGGAAGGCAAAGGTGTGGCTCCAAGAAAATTTGAGTCAGTCTTTTGTTTAATGGTTAAGGTTGTTCATTGCTTTTTTTTTTTTTTTAGATGAGGCATTGCTGCCTAGAGTTGGAGTTAGTCACCTCCTCCCTCCCCCCTGATCCCAGAAGTACTGTTGGACATTAACCTAAACCTAACTGAGGAATATGGAAGAAGGTAAAGGGTTGAAAAGAAAAAGCAGTAAGGGGGTGGGGGAGGGCCGATTCGACCCCTGAGGACAGACACCTGAAGCTGGCCCCTCCCAGGCTGTAGGGGAAACAAGTTTAACAGGATTTAGCCCCGCGGGAACCACAGTTGCTAAATCAGAGGAGGAGGGAGCGCTTTCGGGTTCGACTGAAGAACGACGAGGCACAAGCTCAGGGCAGGACTACAAAGGAAGTGGCCACACAGAACTGGATTACTGGCAGGCAAGCCCCACTTTCGACCCCAGCGCCCGGGGACGAGCACGAGGCTAATTAGCATACTAACTGGGCCCGCCCATAGGCCTTCCTCCTGCCCTCTGACCCCGGGGGCCATCCCCCCCCAGGACTCTTCCCCTGGAGGCGGACCGAGCCCGGCCAGGGCGGCCCGCCCATCTCTGCCGCAGAAGCCGCTCTCGAGCCGGAGGCTGCGGGGACAGGTGACCGACAGGCAGCGCCCTCTGGCTCGCACGCCCCTTTTGTGGGTCTCTGTCCAGAGTTAAGCAGGGTAGCCAGGGCAGTTGACCTCTCCATCTTCTTAGGGTTAGTGGGGGTCTTCCCATCGACCCCAGCAACATTCGTGCACCCCACGTCACCAAGCCGATCTGAGGAACGGGTGAAGGCCAGCGCCCGGATATTCTTCCTTTCTTACTTTACCAGCCTCCAGTTTGGGTTACGGGCGGGCCTTGTACCCTTTTCCCTCTCCTGGACGTAGGAGTCCCTGGCTAGGATGAGGGACTTCTCTCGGCGCCCATAAGACTGTTTTACGTGCAGCCGACCCTCAGTAATGGTATGGGTGGCAGTAAAAGAGCCCGAGCCTTTATTTTACGAACGACTTCAGCTTCTAGCTCCTTTCTACCCCGCCCATAATATGGTGTACTCTCCCTTTAAGACTAAAATGGTGGCTCTCTACAATCCGGACTCCACTTCCGGTGGGGAGGGGGGCGGGACCCCAGCCCGTTCACGCCGGAAGTGGTTTGAGTTTTCAAGATGGCGACTCCCTATGTAACTGACGAGACAGGCGGTGAGTGCGGGAGGCGCGGAGCCGCTTCTCTCCGGGCTCTCGGGGTAGGGGTTCGAACTTGGAAAGGGGTCTGTGCCCCGCCCATCCCGGGGCCCCACCTTTGCCACGCCCCCTGGACCGCCTTTCCCATTCATTCTCCCCTACAGGGTGTCGCCTGCGCCCCCTTCTGGTCTCGTTTTTTGGGGGGGTCTCTACTTCCGGTCACCTAGACCCTGGGGTCTTTCAATGCTCCCCGTCTAGGACCCTCATGTGCCTTCAACTTTTGTCTTGCAGTTCGAGCTTCCCCATCTCTTTTGGGGTCTCCAGCTCTATAAACTCCTTCACTCAGTTCCCTCCAATTCCTGCCCTCCACTTTCCCCTCACCCATATATCTTAGCCATACCCGCTTTCTGCTCTACCCCAGACCTGTTTTCATTATTTTTCTCAAAACTGTATCTACTGAAGACCTCCTCGTTGCCATATAGTAGTATTCCTACACTCTCCCTTATCTTTATTTGTGGGTCACTGAGGTCCAGAGGTGTAAAGTTAATATAACTTTGAGCTTGAATTTTCTCCTTGATGGAACCACTCTTCTACCTTTTTGGATGATGGTGATAGGGATTGAGGGGTTTAAGGTTAGAGGAGGCAAGCAGGAAGGTGTCTAGTGACATTTTTCCTAAGGTCTTTGACAAATTAATAGAACCAACCCACTGTTCCTTCTGGTTTGTGAAGCACTCCAGCTTACCTGTCTGATATTCTGAAGTATCTGCTATGTGTGTGAGAAGCAGAATCAAAGCTCTTTTCATGGTTTTGTCCCACCTTAATTGCCTTGTCATTAGAAAAATGTGCATTGTAGTAATATTGACTTGGTGATGATGAAATAATATATGGGAAAATTTGTAAAATGCTGTGTAAGTGCAAGGCAATTCTGTTTTTGTAATCCTCACTGTATAGTATATGTGTAGTCTGTAGAAGTGACACTTAGCGTGTACAGTGGTATGCATGATCTGTTTTAAAATGTGCCCTTTGGCCGGGCGTGGTGGCGCACACCTGTAATCCCAGCGCTCGGGAGGCTGAGGCAGGAGGATCGCTGTGAGTTTGAGACCAGCCTGGGCTACATAGTGAGTTCCAGGTCAGTGACAACTACATAGTGAGACCCTATCTCAAAAAAAAAGTACCATTTAATAATGCTTCTTGTTTTGTTGCTTTATGTTATGTGTTGCTTATACCTCAGCCCACCTATCTTATGTACCTAATGACAGCCCAGGTTTCTGCTACTTCTCCCAACTTCTCATTTCAAAGTGCTACTCCATCTTTCCTTATTCTGTCTACTCAATAGGTCTTTTTCAACTAACAACTTTCAGTGTGTGCTTAGAAAATACTCCTTATTTTCCAGTACACGTATTTTTACCCTTAGTCTTGATTTAAACTAAACAGCACATCTCCCCCACCCTTCTACCAAAAGGTATTTTCTGTTCACTATTACTATGTGGAAGAATGGAAGGAATAAGTACTTTTTTTGCTTTGCTTTGTTACTTTTGGATCATTGATCTACCACTGTTACACTAATCCCTGTGGAAGATATTGCCATGCGGTAATAGTAGTTTCTCTAAAAATTCAGTTCCATTTTCTACCTATTGAATCAATGTATTTCCTCTCCTTTTCTTGCTATCATTCTCAGTGTCTCTAGTACCTTTGGGATCCTCCCTTAGCACAAGACCATTGACTTAACCTTTGTATTTTCAAACCAGGTACACATCAGAATCATTTACTGCCTCATCAGTGACCTCACCTGTGACACTTTTTCTTCAGGTACTCTTCACTTACTTTAATCTCTTCACCAGTCACCTTTTTGACTACCTCAGATCCACAGAAGCAGCCCTCTTCCCCCATCCTGGAGATTAAACCCAGGGCCTTTGCACTGAGCTACATCTCCAGGTGCCCCTCCCCCTTTTACATTTTGAGACAAGATCTCACTAAGTTCCTCTGCTGGGCTTGAATTTGCAATCTTCCTGTCTCAACCTCCCAGAGTGCTGGGCTTACTTACATATGTGTGCCACCATGCCTGGCTCAGAAGCAACTTTTTGCCTTTAGGGTCTCTGGTTCTTTTTGGTGTGTGTGTGTGTGTGTGTGTGTGTGTGTGTGTGTGTGTTAAACCCAGGGCCTTCAGCATGCTGTGCCAACTACATCCCCAGCCCTAGTTTGTTGCTTCATCCCATTTCACTGATCTGCCACTATCTTTAATACCTTATTGTGATTACATTTGGCATTGCCCAGGTAGATCTAAGACCCGCCACTTTGATACTATGTTTTTTTTTTCAGTACTGGGGGTTGAACCCAAGGATTTTGTACTGATTTTGATTTCTGTACTAAACAAGCACTTCTAAATCATTCATCATACCCAGCAGTTCTTTTCTTTACTTCTGCTTCTAAACTATAGCATATTGCTGGAGAAAAAGCACAGATTGAGTATAATGTAACTTCTGTCAAGACCACAGCGTCTCTCAAATTACTTATTCCTGGTGTTATTATGTTCTCTATGGCTACATCCTCAACCTTTTCCAGCTTCTCTTTTAATTCTCATGACCTCACTTTCTAATTCATTGAAAAACTAATGCCTATCATTTCTGTTGCTTTCCTAGTCACAGTCAGAGTTTTTGAACATTCGGTCTGCATCTGCTGTTTTCATTTCATTACTGCTTAACTTGTACCTTAACTCTTTGCAGTCATTTTTTTTGTTTTAGTTTTGATTTCTTTGTTTTTTGTTTTTTTGAGACAGGCTCTCACTATGTAGTTGAGACCGACCTGGAGCTCACTATGTAGCCTAGGCTGGTCTTGAGCTCACAGCGATCCTCCTGCCTCAGCCTCCCAAGTGCTAGGATTACAGGCGTGTGCCACCATGCCCTGCTTAGTTTTGATTTCTTTTGAGATAGAGTTTCTGTATGCCTCTAACTGTGTAGGCCAGGGTGATCTCAAATTTAAAATCCTCCTGCCTCTGCTTTCTCAGTGCTGGGATTACAGGTGTGCACTGCTACACCTGGCTGTACTGTAGTCATTCCTAGCACCAGAGTTCCTAGCACCATTCCTGTCACCTGAGTTGCCTATGTTCAAACCAAGAATCAGTTGAAGATAACCCATTTGTTGGGTTGTTGTATGTCTTTAGTCTCTAGTATACAACAATTAGTTTCTTTTGCTTTTTCTTGGCTACCTGGGATCAAACTTAGGACCTTGTACTTGCAAGGCAGATGGGAGCACCACTGAGCTAAATCCCTGGCCCTCTCTTTTTCATTGTTTTGTCCTCATGAAATTGACTTGCTAAAGAGACTGGGCCATTTGTCCTTTTAATTTTTTTTAATTGAGCTTATTGGTACATTCTAGGGATACAGTACAGTTACATTCATTACTGGGATCTTGTACCTTTATACCACAGGTCTTGGCTCTCATTTTTTTCCCTTGTCCCTGCCCTCCCTTCACCCCCTCCTCCCCTCCCCAGTTACAAACACTTTATTTCCATTTTTTCATTTTCTCATATTTTTTAAAATAAGATACACATTTGCAGTACATAATTTGGAGTTGGTGCACATACATAACACATCTTCATTCTTTTTTCATCACCTTCCCTTCCCCTTCTTCCTTCTTCCTCCAACTCTCGGTCCCCTTTCCTTTTGTAAAGGATCTATCTTCCTATTTCTTAATATTATTGGTCTTTTATTTTGCTCTTTATTTATATTTTGGGTTTCTCATATAAGAGACACAATGTGATATTTAAGCTTATATGTCTGATTTATATCACTTAACATTATGGTCTCAAAGTGCATCCGTTTTCCTACCATTGACTCAAGTTGATCCTTTTGGCAGAGTAGTACTCTATTGTGGGTAAATATCACACTTTCTTTATTCTTTTTTTTTTTGGTACTGGGGATCAAACTCAGGTCCTTGCACTTGTGAGGCAGGCGGTAGAACCACTGAGCTAA